AACAAACCAGAGCAGACATTAGCAGAAGGGTGCTGTAGGGAGAGGGAGGGAGGGCAATCTTTGTTTTCCCTCTCAGACCATGTGAGTGCCAGATTGGGAGAGAAGAAAGGGAGCTCTAGGCTTGGCAGTCACAGACGTGGGTTCAAATTCATGTTCGTTACTTCCCAGCTCTGCGAATGACCCTGCGCAGGTCACTTATGGTATAATTGTGCAAGCTGAACACAGTGCTTGGCATATAGTTTGCCCTAAAGAAATATTAACTTCTACCCTCTTCCCCTAAATGAACTAAAATAGGAATACTAATAGTACCTACTTCAGAGGGTTATTATGGGATCTACTGAGTTAATGTATCTAAAATACATACAGCAGTGCCCAATATGTAGGAAGTTACTAGTACTGCTATTATTATCACTCTTTATTCTGGGCAAAAACTGGTGAAATGAGGCAGGCAGTGGGCAAGATGCGGGGGGTTAGGGAGTGGCTCTGAGGGACTGTGCATGGTGATTAGCAGGGGAGTTGAGTTATCTGTTGCAGTGGTTTTACCAGAAAGCATCAGCCCTGTGTGAAGAGGGGTGTTCTGCATGATAAAGGGCCTCCTAGGCAGTCACACTGTCAGCAGGCCTCAAAGCTCAGGCCAAAGAAAACAGCAGAAGTCATGGGGGAAAACTAGAGTTGAAAAAGATCTAAAATTGTCTTATTCTGGTTGTGTCTCTAATCCACAGCTGGGTGTGGGTCTCCTGTGAGGGCCTGTCCCTGACGCCCACCCCCATGCTGACCCTCGCCTTCATGTGTTAATTGCTAGGAGCTTAGAGTCAGTACTAAATCCAGCAGGGTACTGAGCCCATAATGAATGAATGAATGAATGAATGAATGGACAAAAACCTGCAAGGCAACCATCTAAGTGTGCTATTAAGAGAAAGTGTGCTGTTAAAAGATAGAGAAAGATAACCAGTGTTTTTGAGCCCTTGCTAAGGGCCAAGCATTTTCATTTATGTTGCAGCTTAGTGGTGAACACCACAGCTTTGGAGTCAGATAAAATTACCTGTGTGACCTCATGTGTGTCACAGAAGCTCTCTGAAGCTCCCTTTGGACATTTGTACAATGAGAATCACTGTACCTATCTCATAGGGCTTTTATGAGTATTGAGTAATGCTCATATTATAAGTATATGAAGTGCTAGTCTTAATGCACAGCACATGGAATAGTAGGTGCTCAGTCCGTAATAGCCGCTGTTATATTTATTAATCCTCCCAGTGCTCTCCACGGGGATGGGAGGCCACAGAAACCGATGGGTGGTCTTGATTCTGAACTCCATCCCATCGGGAAGGAAAGGGCTCGCGGCAGACACTAACCAGACAGGTTGTGTGAAATGAAGTCAACTTTATGTGCATTTCATTCATTACCTAAAGCGCTTGACTCTGTGAAATCTTAAAAGGAAAAAAATCCCCGCAAAATTATAACTTATGTGCCTTTCAAGTTTAGATATTTTATCATCTGGATAAATCTTTCATGCATCTATGTTAAACCGCTTTAGGCTGTCGAAGCTCTTGAATAAAGTAGCTTGTCCTGACCAGTGTCTGTCTTGGCTCGTTTATCATAGTTCCCTGGTGAAGACAGACAGGTCCCATTTTGCAGGGCAGGCCTCAGGATGGCAGCTCCAGCCCCAGAGTTTTAGCAGTGCAGTACTGCGTGCTGGTGTTTAACAAACCACAGTGGACTCGTGGTTCTCTCATCATTGTCTCTCACGTGCACATAGACCCACAGTGCCAATCGGGGAACTAGGAATGGAAAGGCATTCTGCTGCGAGTACGGACCTGGAGAAATCAGCTTCAGGGAAGTCTAAGTTTCTCAATGATGGGTTTTGGGGTGAAAGGGCCTTCAATGAGGTTGGCAGTGTCTTCTGGAAGTGAGAGCTGTCTGCTCTTATTACCCAGGAGTGTCCTTTTTGTGTCTGGCCACCTGCCCAGTGAAAATCTGATTTGCATGTCTGCCTCCCTGCTATCCCTGCCTCTGGCCAGAGTTGCCTCTAAAGCCGGAATCCCTTTAGCTGCTGCCTTCCTATAGTCCCAGTGGGCACCTTGCCAGGCATGCCGTCTCCAGTTGCCCTGGAATTACCTCCTCTGGGGGTGGCCCTGGTGCAGTGGGTGCTGGAGCCCTCTCCTGGGTGACAAGGGTCCACCTGAGAACCTGTTTATTTTCTCCTTCTTTGATACCTCTGGGCACACGGGGTCAGCACAGGTTTTATTATGTTGTAGCTAGTGACCTGCCATTTGAGAGGAGAGAAGGGCAAAGCTGACTGCTGCTGTCCAGAGGGCGGGAACACCTGTCTGCACGCGGAGCTGTGCAGTTCCAGCACCGTCCCTCATGAGCATCCTGCAGCCTCCAGAGGGGCACCACACCTGCCTGCAAGCCCATTCAGTTCCACTGAGAACAAGGAGAAAATAACACTAAAGGGCTGGTTTTAAATAGGATGTGATCCAAACAGCTCCAAGAAACATCCTCTTTCCATGACCGAATATTATTAGAGAGTGATTTTGTTTGGCCAGAGCTGTTGACAAAGCGCATCTTTGATCCCCACCAGTCTCAGATGTAGACCTCATTACGAGAAATGAGCTGCCGTCTTCCCTGAAGCAAAGGAAGGGGACTGGCATCACTGTGCAGAAATCCAGAAGGCCTGGGGGTTCTGAGGAGTAAATGTGTCCATCGTCAACCTGGAACTTTTCAGAGCTCCTAAGATGGTTTTAAATTAGAGCCAATCTTTCTTCCTGCCTTTCCTCTCCCATCAGCACTCCCTCCCTTGCTTCCTCTTACAAAAGGAACCGTCTAGGCAGGACACAGCCAGGTGGGAGTGCTGGAACATATTAAAGGCAGATGCGTGGGGGTTTAATACCTTGATTCCAGTCCTTCCCACCGAGTCACAATGTTCAGAAGAGGGGAGTATGGAGCAAGACTGACCAACCCTGTCAGCCTAATTGCATACTAACCACAGCCATCAGAGCCCTGTTGGCAGCCAATCTGCTCGCTGAAATGGGTTTGCACTTGGTGGGGGGAAAATGATGAAAACAAGTGATGTAAACCCCAATTTGGGCCCAATAAGTTCCATATTGGAGAGATTGAAGGTCAGTGTCAGTAAAGTAATCACACCAGACCAGGTAAAGAGCAAACTTGAAAAGGCTAGATGTTTCTCTACGAGCAGGTGATCATTAGGACAGAATGCCTGTTACATGAATTAGTATAGGAGTCTAAATTATGGACTTTCAAATGTTCACTTTAAAGATCAGAAATAGGTGTTTATGGCATGAATCCTATCAGAGATTTAGTATCAAAGACTGCTTTGCTTCTTAATTCTCGCATCAGGCCTTCTTTTATGTAACTTTTATAATGCTTTTAGTCATTATTGCCTTAATGTTTTTGTGAAAAAATGATGCCAGTGTCTGTTACCCACTTTATATTTTATGAATAATCAAAGGACCGCAGATGATACAAGGAGGAGGGCTGCCTGTTTCAGGGAAACGGGCTTCCTTTGGCTTCTTAAGGAATTCTGTCTTAAGAAAATAATTTGAAAAGTGAATGGAGCTACTGTATAAAGATGCATTGTTTTTTATAATAGTGAAAACTTAGACATGACCTGAATATACAGTATAGGAAGATGGTCCAAGTACAGAACACCAGGTTGATGGAATATTGTGCAGTATTTAAAAAATGTGAGGATTAGTAATGTGGGAAGTTGTTACATGCTCAGTAAACAGAATGCCATTACATTAAGATGTGTTCTGTGAGGGAAGCCTCAAAGGGGACAATAGTTGCATTTGAACAGTAGAACTATGCATAACTTTCTTACATATTTCGAACTTGCTATTTTGTTTTATTACTCCCAAAACTTTTTTTTAAAAGACCCTCAAATGAGCCAAGTTAATGATATTTCTTCTATTTGCAGTATCAAGGGCATGGCATTTGTGACCTTAATATGAGTAAGTCTTTTAATCAGCAGTTTCTAAAGCTGGGCTTGTCTGCCTGCCTCCATGTCTCTGGTAGAGGCCTGTACTCTGGGTCCACTGGCTGAATGGCCTGCAGATGTGCTCACTTTGGCCTTGTAGACTCATATTCTCAGGGTTTTTAAGATGAAGAATGCAACTGCCCTTTTCCTGCCCTACAAACTCATATCCCTCTGCCAACCTCTCTCCTCCTTACTCCCTTTGGGACCTCATTGGTGAAGTTTTAGCAACCTCTGCCCCCAACGTCCCGCGCGTGCGCGCGCGCGCGCGCACACACACACACACACACACACACACACACACACACATTGCCAGCAATTGGTAGCCCCATATTACTCAGCTTCTTGTCCTGCTCAGGCCTTGGTACTCAGTAACTCAGAGTCTGCTTTATATATTCATATATATATATATATATATATATATATATATATATAATTTTTATTGATTTCAGAGAGGATGGGAAAGGGGAGAAAGAGACACATCAATGATGACAATCATTGATCAGCTGCTCCTGCATGCCGCCTACTAGGGATCGAGCCCACAACCCAGGTGTGTTCCCTGCCCAGGAATCGAACGGTGATCTCCTGGTTCATAGGTTGATGCTCAACCACTGAGCCACACCATCTGGGCCTGCTTTGTATATTCTTAATGACAACTCTCCCTGTGTCAGCCCTTGTACCCATCATCCTCTGCTGCCTAGAGTGTCGCCAAGGGCATGTCCTAAAACAGCAGTTCTCAAACTCATTCATTTGGCCAAACATTGAGAAATCATGGCATATGTCTTTATTAGAGACAAGGATTTAAGTCCGCATGGTTTATTTGGGAGGAAGTTCCAGGAAGTTCTAGCAAGTAGAGAAGTAAGCCCGACGAGTTCACCATCAAGCAGGTCACCACTGTGGACCACTGGAATTTACACCTGCTTGGAGTCCCCAGCAGCCAGTGTAGAACACCCTTTCAGAGTTAGCCTTTTCTGGAGCTGGTTATGTACACATCATTGATGTCCCTCATTGGCTGAGCACTGCTCCTGGGGGGAGATGAATTCTCCAGGATGGTGGCAGCTTCCAGTCACTAGGTAAAGCACCAGGGCAAAGGGATGCAGACACTGACACATGGAAGTCAAGCTGGCTTCTCTAAAGTGGTGAGGCCCAAGTGTCAGGGCATAGCACTGACAATGTCTGCGGTGGCATTCTTCCCTAAACACCATGAACGTTATAAACTGAAAATAACCAAATGCTGAATCAGAGGTCCATTTATACCAAATCAAAGACTGTATTAAGAACTAACCAACCCCAGAAGCTTATGAAAATTATGGGAAGAAACCTTTAAATTAGAAAAATAATACCATATCTTTTTCCTATGAATTGGGATGTTCCACCAATATTTGAAGTGGCAGAATGCTAGTGTTCTGCAGCTGTGCAGTTTGAGAGCCAACATTTTAAAAGAGGGCCTGAGTGTATAATAAGATTTATCTGTATTGTGGCAATGTTTCTCCCGTTGTTGTAATTTAGTTTTTTTCTGTTAATTTCTCAAGCACATTAAAGATGGTCTTAAAAGAAAAATTCATTGGGAGAAAACATTTAACTTCATTTGTATCCAGTGCCACGTTTTAATATTAATACTGGATTCACCGTACTGACACTAATATCAGAGGATGGGAGAGAATTTCTGTAGTGATGGCTTTAGGCAATGTGATAAATGCTTTGTAGTCATTGCCTTTATATAGTAACACTCCATCTCCAATTAAAGATTTAGTAAGCTCTTCATCAAAATATCTATTCACAATTGAGGCGTACAAGATGGTTGTGCTGACATTTCAACTTAATTCACTCTATAATTTTGTGGGTCCCAATCCATTTTAGATGCTTGTTTTTTTCTACACAGAGGAGGAATAATGACAAGAGTTTGGGGGCATAATGCAGAGTATAGAAACATTCTCCATGTATTTATTATTATTAAGTCTATTAGAATATTTGTCACTACAAATGAAGGACTTACTCTGAGAATGATTTAAAATTGTTCATGTAGCAAGTTCAATAGGGTTTAGTGGCTAAAGTTTATATGCTTTGAGATATGGGCATTTTAGAATTTGTATAAAAAGGACTCATGATCCTGATGTTTTAAAGCAATGAAGCCATTTCCCTTTGGTTCAACATGCATTCCATAAAGAATAAGAGAGTGAATTCCTGGTGTTCGGGCCTGTTCCCGTGTCCTGTGCACACGGCAGACATCACTCACTCATCCTGAGTCTGCATCTTCAACTGCAGTGTTCAGCCACTACAGTCCATCATCACTGGCTCACCAGATGGAGCCTATGCGTACTTTGTGCTCACGCACACCTTCTTACCTGTTCTTGTCATTGCTGTGAAGGGTCAACAAAAGAATCCTTCCCAGTCTCTCTACCAAAAAAAAAAAAAAAAAAAAAAAGATGAATTCAAGAAGCAGTGGGTATGACCACCTTGTGCCTTTTGTCACCTCTCTGTTATGCAGATGGTATTTAATCAGTTTGTCAACATTTGTCTCCCTTCCTTTTCTCCTTCTATCATGTGCATTTTGTTTTTTCCTTTCTTCCTCAAATATTGCTCAGAAGATCAAGCAAGGAGTCCAAAATTATTTGCTATCTGGTCTCATAAAGTTTGGTTGAAGTACTTTGTATTAATGGGAATACATTGAGGGTTTTTTTCCTACCTCTTCAGGAAGACTGCTCTGTTGTAGGTCACTTGTGACCTCCACATTGCCAAATCTCCCATATCTTCTGTGCCACATGTGCAGCATGTGATACCTCTGATCATGCCCACCTCTTGACCCTTCTTTCTTAGATTTTCCTCCTTCTAGCCTAATTGCTTCTTCTTTGATTTCCCCATCTGCTGCCTTCCCTCTGCTAGCATTTTGAGTGGTGAATCCCTAGGATTCTTCAGTTCTCCTCTTGTACATTCCGCCTGGATAATTTCATCCCTGTCCCTGGTTTTTAACTCTCACCTTTACATAAATACCTTTACATAACTCTCACCTTTACATAAATACCTCCATCACCCACTCTCTCTGGAATATCCAGCAGCCCGCTGAATGGTGCCTCTTGTGGCTTTGTTAGGTTGCAGATGGAATTAAGGTTGCTAATCAGCTGACCTTAAATATCTTGAATCATACAGATAGGATCAATGTAATCACAAGAGTCCTTATAAGTGAAAGAAGAAGGCAGGAGAGTCAGAGTGACGCAGTGTGAGTGAGACTGGACCAGCTGTGGCTGGTGTCAGAGCCAGAACAAGCACCCCTTGGAAGGTGGATCGGGGCATGAGCCAAGGAATGTGGCAGCCTCTGAAATCTGGAAAGGCAGGAAATGGATTCTCCCCTAGAGCCTCAGAAAGGAATATAGCCTTGCCAACACCTCTATTTCAGCCCAGTGAAACTCTTTTTGGACTTCTGACCATCAGAACTATCCTATATACTAAAAGGCTAATATGCAAATCAACCGAGCAGAACAACTGGTCGCTATGATACACTCTGACCACCAGGGGGCAGACGCTCAACACAGGAGCCGCCCCGTGGTGGTCATTGGGGAGCGCCACTCAGCCAGAAGGAGGGCTCATGGCTGTGTGGCAGCACTAAGGACCCCTTGGAGAGTGTCCCCGAGGGGTCCTGGGCTGCGAGAGGGTGCAGGCCAGGCTGAGAGGGACCCCTCTGCCCCCCAGTGCACAGATGTCCTGCACTGGGCCTCTAGTAAGATAATAAATTGTGTATGTATTTTTAAGCTACTAAGTGGAATCATTTGTTACAGCAGCAACAGGAAACTAAAAGAGGATAATCATCCCTTTCTCAAAATATTGGAGTGTGGAGTCAGGAAATAATGTCTGAAAATTACCCAGTAAAGCTCCTGAAACATAATAGATGCTTAGTAAACAGTAATGTTGATGGTGGACAATGTTGGGGGAGTGGTGATCATTAACATTGTAAAAGGAGAGTAGCTGATGGCAGATGCCTGAAGAATCAAGGTCAGGGACTCTGAGGTGAGATTCAGGGCTAGTAGGAGGCCAGTAGGCGACACCTGGTGGCCAAAGGGGACCATTCTGTCTGTTAGTCCACAGAATGGACTATCCTCTTCCTGTTCTTCAGCACTTACCTATCAACGCCATCCTACCTGGAGGAAGCGGGAGTTGGGGAAGGGCTGCCAGAGATCTGGTAGAAGGCGGGCCTCTCTCTGCCTGGCCCTCACTCACCCTAATGTCTTTGGCTGCCTTTATGGTCTTAAAGATCATTACTCCAATCTTGAGTATCAGCAGCTAAACTTCACTAAGCTTGCTATGGCCCAGACAATATGCTTGGTGCCCTATGACAGAGCCAGTATTCACAACAGCCCTCTGAGGCAGACCTTATTTCCCATATTACAGAGGAGCAAACAGAGACTCCAAGAAGTTAGGCAACTTGCTCAAGTGGCAGAACTGGGACTACAAGCTAGGTTTGTCTGACTCCAGATCCAGCCTCCTGCACCAAACTAGTCACTGAGTGGGAGACATGACCCATCCACAGGCTGCCTGGAAGGGCCTGGGGCTGTGTTTGCATTCGGTGGGCCTGTAGGAGCAAGGTTCTCCAAGTCTCCAGAGGAAATGCCCCGCCCTCCTGCACCTCTGGGAATGATGGAGCCCCCATGTGAGATGGGGTTGGGGCACATTTGCTTCTGGGGTCCTTGTAGGGGCATCCACATCTGCTTTTATTTCCGGGGGTGGGGGATGGGGAAGTGAAGTAACATGGAAAGTTGTTAACGATTGCTTAGAGACTTCTCTGTAGCCGTTCACTATATTATTTTCTCTAATTTGGGGGGCTATTTTGTAATTTTTTATAATAAAAAGTTATCTTATTTTAAAGTCATCACTGAGCCCTTAGGAGGTGCTCAATCTTTGGCTGAATTAGACACCCTGAGACCCACAGATAAATGACCACAGTGGTGGGGCTGGCCTTGGGGGCAGAGGTGGAGGGGCATGATCGAGCCAAGTGGGACAGTCCTCAGCGGGCAGGAAGTCATGCCTGACTCTCCAGGTGTACTCTTGCTTTTGTCTAGCTGTTTATAGTCAGTCCTGAGTCAAGTAACTAAGAGATAGCTAGCTGGGTCTGTTTTGATGCCTGATCACTGAGATTTCCTGCAGTGTGTGACTGTCCGTCCCCAGGTGGGCTGAATTATCCTTCGTGGTGGCATTATTCCTTTGCTGTGTTATGATATGAGAAAAGGACTGTGGTGTCTTATCACACATCTTCTCATGGTACATACTACTCAATAGGAATGCCATTTGTCACTGCCGATTCGCTAGCAGATTTTCCTTGCCAAGTCCTGTAATCTTTTGGGTTTCACATGGAAGTTTATTTTTCAGACTTAGCTTTGGAATAGATAAACAGATTCCTCGATCTCCCTTTAGCTTCCTCTTTCTTTGCATTTTTTCCTTGTCAAAATAGCCAGCCAATGGAGGTGAGCAGCCCTCAGAGTGTTTGTTCCTGCCTTATCATCTCAGTATTTCCAAGGACTTTGCCAAATCTGTAGACTGTGTTGAGCATCTTTTAAAGCAGACATCACTGCTAACCAAGAGGTCAGACTTGGCCAAGCACTGGTTTAGCTCTCTAAATACAATGTTATTCTTCATCTAAAATTCGATTTCTTTCCTATAAGCCTTTGGACATGTGAACGCATAATAGGTGACCTCTGAGTGGTAATTTCATGAATTCTTGGTGAAATGAATTGTATCAGATCAATATATTCGTAGACTCATCAAATTTTTTGAGCTGCGAGGGACTTTAAGATGAATCTGGTATAGCTCTGTTAGTGGAAGAAACATTCATTTTAACTGCATAGTCAATTCTCAATTAACAAGGATAATGGAGTGGAAGGAGGTCAGTGATAATCACAAATCATGACGAAAATAAAATTATAGTGAACACTGGATTTTCTGGGGATGACCAACTGGTTTGTGGATTAATTGAGGTTAAGACACAGTGGACCCTAGGATGTCATTGCCTTTGTAATTGGTCAGCAGCTGCTCACCACCTGGCCTCCACCCCCCCCTCTCTGTCTCAGGGAATAGAAGGGCTTCTTGGGGGCTAGATCTGGCAGAAGGGGCTGACCTTGCCTGGACAGATACCATTATAGTGCAGACCTCAGTCTTGGTAGCTGGTGAAGGCTGCTTATAGGGCTTGTCACACCTGCTCCTTGATCAGTGGTTCTCAAACTTGAGCTCCAGGTGACCCGCTTGGAGATTTTGTGAAGACTCAGATTGCTGGACCCCAGCCCCAGTCTCTGATTCAGTGGGTCTGCAGTGGGGCCTGAGAATTTGCTTGTCTAACAAGTGCCCAGGTGATGTTAACACAGCCATCCGAGAGACCACACTTGGAGAACCATGGCTTTCCAGACCATTCTTTTCATCCCAGCTGCACGTTAGAGTCACCCAGGGAGCTTTTTAAACCTATTGATGCCTAGATAACACCTAGGCCAATTATGTGAGAGGCTCTGGAGGTGAGACCCAGGCATGGCTGTTTCTAAAGCTCCCCGTTGAACTTAATGTGCATCTAGGTAATGTTTTCCAGTCCTTTGTCATCTCCATACAGGTCTCACGATTTTTCCCATATCTTTATCCCCCTATATTTAATATTTCTTTAAGTAAAGCTTTTCATATGAATTTATTTTAAAAGCAAACTATCTCTTTCATGGAGGAAAACTAATTTCACAGGCCAGATATGGGACACACATGTAAAACAAATATTAAAGTTCTAGCCTGGATTCATCTTGCATCTCATCACACTTTGGAAGTCTCTCCTCTAGAACTGTGTTCTTTTTTCTTTTCTTTTCACAAAGGTGATGGAATATACTACTTCGGTTCTTCATCCCCTCTGTGGAATAGGCAGGGTTCTGCTAACTCTGAGCAGGATGATCTTCTCCCCACAAGAGAAACAGTTTGGAATACAAGTGAGAGTGACTTCATTACAGATAACCTCGGCTAGGTGATCATCTTCACTTTAAAAAAAAGGATTCATCAAAAGAATAGATAAACTGTAGTATTGCCAAAAAATGGAATACTACTCAGCAATGAAAAGGAACACACCGCTAATGCACACACCACTTGGACAAATCTCACAGACATTATGCTGAGTGAAAGCCAAACACAGACAACTATACACTGTATGATTCTATTTCAAGTTCTAAAACAGGCAAAACTAGTCTGTGGTGGAAAAATTTAGTTCAGTGGTTGCTTGAGGGAAGGGGACAGGGAGATGGAGTAGCAAGGGACATAAGGGAACTTTTTGGGGTGATGGGATGTTCTGTACCTTATAGGATTAGGGGGTGGTTCTTAAGGGAGGCTGCTATCCTGGGAGAGAGGACTGTGGGTGCCCTGAGCTGGCCCTGCTGCCAGAGGCGATAGCCACGGGCACTCCTTCCTTCACATGAGCTATGTCCTGGAGGTTCCATGGTGGGGTCGCCCTGGCAACCAGCCTGGGTGAAGCTGTGAAGAGACTGTGTTAGATGTGACCTGCAAATACCACCTGGACCCTCTCACAGAAAGGCTGATGTGAGTGGGTGAGGAATAGAGGGAGCTTCCCAGACTCCCCAAACATCAGAACATGCCACCCCAATGTCTCACTGGGCCCAGGGACATGGTGGGGAGAAAGTGGGGGTGTGAAGGCATGAGTTTACCATCATGGGGATTAGGCAGGTGCAATGGGCAAG